AATTTGAGACATTTATTCGGATGTCCAACACGATATTGAATAAGTTCTTGTAATTCACGTTTAACATTTTCTAAACCACCAATATCTTCCCATGTTATTGTTGGTTTTTCAACAACTATTTCATGCAAAGCTGATGGATTTGATTGATCAAGTGCAAACTGAAAATCCTCTTGTGTAACAGCTAATGAACTGAATGCTTCAATATCAATTGTATCATTTTGTAAACCTTTAATATTCATATTATTTTGAATTTGGTGTAAAGCAGCTTTTGAACATAATAATGCTAAATCCGCACCAACATAACCATGTGTTTCATTAGCAATTTGTGAAAAATTAACATCATCACCTAATTTCATATTTTTTGTATGTATATGAAGAATTTCTTCACGGCCACCATCATCAGGAATACCAATATCAACTTCGAGATCAAAACGACCAAAACGACAAAGTGCTGGATCAACTGAATCTGGTCGGTTTGTGGCCGCCATAACAATTACATGTGAACATTGTTTAAGACCATCCATTAATGTTAATAATTGTGAAACAAAAGAATGTTGAACTATACCATATTTTATTTTATGTTTTGGTGCAATAGCATCAAGTTCATCAATAAAAATAATAGCTCGAGAATTCTAAAAAAAACATTTTATTCAAATAAAAATTGTATTATAAGAAGGAGAATGATTTAACTATTAAATTAATTTTACCTTTTTAGCTTCTTCAAATGCTTTACGTAAATTAGATTCAAATTCACCAGCTAATTTAGACATAATTTCCGATCCATGGATTAAAGACAAAAATGCACCAGGTTCATTAGCCATGGCACGTGCAATTAAAGTTTTATCTAAAATATATATTTTTTTCTTTTTCTAAAAAGACGGCCTCTTATTTTTATCATACCTGTGCCTGGTGGTGCATATAAAAGAATACATTGTGGTGGTTTAACACCAATTGTTTTGCATAGTTGTGGATATCTTAATGTAAATTTAACCGTTTTCTTAATTTCTATTAATTGTTTTCTAACACTACCAATATCATCATAACCAATTTCATTTAAAGATATTTCTTCTTCTTCACGTTTAATTGAATCACCTTCACAATGTATAACTGTATCCTGTACAACAGTACAGTAAGGACTTGGTGTAGTTTCAATTACTTTAAATTCTACAGCACGCATAGCTGCACATACAATAAAAACATCACCTTGGTGTACTGGTCGATCAGATGTACGAAAATATGGTTTTAAATAAACTCCCAATAGATTGCCTGTTATTCCTTGTACGGTATCATCAACAGGTAAAACATATATATGCTTACCACGTTTAATATTTTTACAAACTTGAATTGAAACAATATCACCTAAATGTAAACGTAAATTATTTCGTACGACACGATTCATTTGAATATGATCAATTTCACATAAATAACTAATATCAACAGCACGAACTGTTTCATGATGTTTTTCACCTGTAAGCATAACCATATCACCTCTATGTAATTGTAATTCTTCCATTAATGTAGGAGATAATGTAACAACACTATCATCATTAACAATGGCATCATCAACAATTAAATGATAACATTGTTTTTGACTTAAATCAGCTGTTGTATCAACTGGATGAGTCATTTTTAAATTAAACGAATAAAAAAATCAGTTTAGATTAAATCTACAAATACACCTTCATCAAGTGACAAAAAAAAGAAACAAAAAAATAAATAACAAATAATAATAATTTGATATAAATTCTATCAAGAACAACAAAACAATACCCAGGTTGACGATAAACACTTGCTTTATTATTACATGATGTAACAATTGCATTTGGTTGTTGAAGTAAATCAAAAAAATTACTACGAGCTGCAGCTGTTTCTGTACATGGAATTAAAACTACACAATCACGAAACATTGGAATAGCATCTGGTGCACTATAAGCTTCACGTAAACTATCTAAATCAGCATGAACCTAAATAAATAATTTAAAAACAATATTATTTTTAAAGATCAGAAATAACAAAAAAATTTCTACACTAATATCATGATATTCAGCAACACGTAAACAAATATCAATAGTAGATGGTGTTGCATCCCAACGTTCATCTAATCGTAAACTAAAAATATTAAATTTAATTAATTTATTAAAAGTTTAATTAAATGATTTCCTTTTTACCCAATTGCACCAGCTACAATTTGATCTGCAAGTTCTTTTGATAAACCTTCTGTTTTTGATGTATTATCTTTACCATAAAAACCAAAATTTATTGGATAATCATCTGTTGATTGTATCATATATTTAATATGATTTGGACCATATGTTGACATTGTTACACTACCATTCATTCCTGTTCCACCACCACCACACATTGTTGTTACACCACTTATGAATGCTTCTGTAACAACATCAGGTGATGTTAAATAAGCACATGCATCAATAGCACCAGTTGTTAACATTAAACTTTCACCTTGAATTAATTCCGTTCCAACACCAATGTTGCTTTGATAATGAAGGATTCATTGGACGAGCTGGCAATCGTGATGGTGTGACTGAATCAGCATTTGGATGATGTGATGACGGAGATGCTTGATCAGGAAAAAATTTTGATTGACAAAATCTTGGATCATATGATGGTGAAAATTGACGACTAATAAGTAAAGAAATATATTCAGAAAAGAAAAAAAAAGATAAAGTCCAACTTTTGAAGAAGAACAAGAAGAATACATCACTCTACCATGTAACTGCCAGGAGACTGTTTTGAAAAACCAACACTTTTCACACAATGCTAATCAACAAAACCATAAACATTTGATATTTTTGGCATTAGTGCAGTAATCACTTGATCAAGTTGTAATTCGTGGACTTCAATACATTGAACTTCTCGATGATTTGAACCAGCTGCCGTTGTTGTTTTAAATGGTAATTTTCCATTTGATAAACGAAATTCAACAATTGGCTATATAAAAAAAAGACAATTGATTTTTTTTCTAAATATGTCATACTTCTAAATATCGTATTTTCATTACTGGTTCAAAATCTTCTGTTATCATTTTTGTTCGACGACATTTTCTTGTAAATTTAATTGCATGCTACAAAAAGTGAAACTTGAAAATAATTTTTTTTTGTTTCTTAATTTACTTGTAATAAAAATCGAACAATAACTGTTGCTTCTAACATTAAATATTTATTACAATTATCTGTTGGATATTAACATTGATTTAAGTCGACTATAAATTGAATAAACGACTATACAGGCTTGCCTAGATATTTTCTCTTTTTTCTTTTCTTTTCTTTCCTTCATTCCTTATATCAGATATCATTTATTCTAATCGTTAGATCATCTTTTCTTTTCTGATATGGTATAGTCTATACGATAGTATTGCGTTATTGTATTTTTATTTTTTATGTTTATTAAATGTAATAAATAGACTAGAACATTAGATAATCTTGTTCAAAATGAGTTTAATATATTTACAAGAGAGATTCATAAACAAAAAATATCTTAAGCAACTGTTCGAATACTTTTATATAAAGGAGATTTCGATCTGATAAGATAAAAATTATATTTATTTGAAATAAAACGAAGAATTCCTTGATAAAGACCAAGTGGTTCTAATGGAAATAATCCAAAACAAGGTAAAATTGGTATAAGTGATTGAAAATCATCTATTGATTCTTGTTGATAAATAAATTTAAATGTATCCGAACTACAATTTAAAAAAAAAAAGAATTTTCATATTTTTAAATAAATTAAATAATATAAAAATTTCATACGTATTTTGTTTTTTAATTAAATTATGCATATCAGTATTAATTGTATCACATTTTTCTAATGATTTAAGTAATGTTGAAGATTTAATTGATTGAATTAAAAAATTTTCATATGTTTCTTTTCGTAATGTATCAATATCTGCTAATGGTGGAAGTGGATTTCTATAAAATTATTCATAAAATTCTTTGTATTTACAAAAAAAAGGGAAACTTAAAAATTCGTTTTTCGTTTTCGATTAAAAAGTCTTTCTAAATATTTCGTATTTATTCTATTACCATCAATAGGTCGTCGAAATATACGTGAAATATCTGGCATAAGAAATGATGATGATGAATCTGTAAATATCCATTTATCCCAAACTCTATAAACAAAAAACAAAGAATTTCATTAAAGAAAAATAAATCTCGTTATATACTGTTTTGAACAACATTCTTTAAATGAATTTTTCATATTTTTATCATAAAATGAACGTCTTAACAAATATTCTAAACCATAAAAATTATCAACACGATAAATTAATTCAATAGAACCATTAACAATATCATAAGCTAAATGAAAAAAAAGCAAATAAAAAATAAAAATGAAATAATTTTACAATTAGGATTCCACATTTGTATTTCTCCAACTGTTTCATCTTTACGAAATATTTCACGTAATAATGCAAATGTATAAAGAAAATCTGGTGATAAAATAAGATCTTCTTCAATAACAATTATTTTATCCTAATTAAAAAGAAAAGAAATGTTTTCTTTTAAATTATTATTTATTTAACCTTAGCTGGATGTAATTCCCAAGCTTTACTTAATGATTTTTCATAATGTTCTATAAAAATAAAAATAAATTTTATTTGTACTATTTTCTTTCCAAGTTGATGATTTCTGAAGCAGTATTCTGTGAATTTCCGGCAAGAATCCGGTGACCCAGACCCTGCGTAAGGGTTCTGAGATAGTCAAGATTGGAGAAAGCAAAATATTTTTTGTATCAAATTTAATATTAATCTCTCTTTTTCAACCCGAAATGTAACAATTTTTCCAACCTTCTTAAAAAATTCGACTTTCTCTGGCAAGTTTCAAGACAACCAACGTCTAATGTAAGGAAATTCCTCAATATTTCTGCCGCCAAAGGCGGCTACGCTAGCGACGACTGCTTGCAAATGAAGCTGTTCAGAAAGTAACCCCTAAGAGATACTTTATAGATTCAAAACAATATGATCGATTTTGATGGTTAAAATAATATATAATTTTCAATTATTTGGGGGTATACACCTCCTCACTTTCGCGGGTCCTGAGGGTAACCGTATTCGGCTGTCGGTTTTGACAGGATCCTGGAGAAACCTAATAAATCCGTTCACCAGAATACTGCTTCCATAAAATCTCCGGACTGTTCGACATGAACTTTGTTATAATTACCCATATATGTTGAACTACTTGCTGTTTTTGCTCCTCGAAAACCAAATAAATCAATTAATGCAAGTGATTCAGAAAATTTCTCATTAACAGTAACCTGAAAATAAATATCAAATAATTGAAATATATTTTAAATTTAAAATATTTACAATAACATTTTCAGGAATAATACCCAGTTGCATTAATAATGTTTCTAAACAGATACAAAGTGAATTATGTGAAATTCCTAGAATGTTTTAAAATAGAAAAAAAATGAAAGCAAAACAAAAAATATATATTAACCAGCAATAGCAAGAATTGGTGTGGAATATATTGGATTATCTTCTAATGTTTTATTGAATAATGGAACAGTTGCTAAATTTTTATCAACATTTGTATCTTTATATTACAAAAAACAGAACAATTTCAATAGAATTTATATAAAATATTCTTTATTTACCACTATAAAAATCTCCATAACCATCATAACGAGAACAAAAATCACGACATTTATCATTACGAAATGGTAAAGGATCAAGTCGGATTTTGATTCCTTTTACTAAAAATAAATATATCATTGTTATTCTTAGTTAAAGGACTCCACCGGATAAGATCATAAATCTGCCACCCACCTAGATTTCAACTTCAATAGTGTAGAAAGATAGAGCATGATATTCTGCACATTTTTGTGTATTTATTTATATTTTTGTTAATACCAAAAAAAATTTTTAAGGGTGAAATAATTTCGGGGAAGTATATCATTTTTTGGTTTCCCAGATAATAATTATGATATTCAAAATTTTTCCTTTATAAACTTTTTATGAAAACTAATAGTGTAGATCTATAGAGTTTTTCGTGCTCTACAAAATGGTATAAATAGATAAATTTCAAATTGCTGCAGTTAGGGTCTATAAGACTCACAAATGTACGAACATACAAAAAAACATATTAAACGATTATTTTTGATAAGTTTCAAGTGAGTTTTCAGGCCAACAATCATTTGCACAAAATAGTGACTACCATAGCAAAATTTCTCGTCATTTGCTCTACAAAATGGTGTAAGTTTGAAGGAAAAAATTATGGTCCCGAATATAAGATATTCGATGATTACTTTAGAGCAGCCGCTATTTTACTCGTATATCGATCGTTTTTTGAGACAGGTGTAACAATTTATTTAAATTATTCCAGTTTGTCTATGAAAATTGACATCAGCTTTTCATTGAGTAAGGATAACTACGTTCAATAGTGTTCTATGAGATATTCAATAGATGTCCTTAACCCATCTTTACTATACATCAATGTGACTCATCATTACAGCTCTGTAACAGTTACATGTTGAAGTTCTCAGAAAGCAATAAATCTAGTATTTTATAATACTGTGTACTCCTCTTCTGAATTTTTTCTTCATATGAATTTAGTCTAAATGAATAGCATCATGGTGTTATTTTTATTTATCCGATGTTAACGTATATAACATGCTTCCTTCTCATGATTCGGCTATACTATGCTGAATAAAAATCACAATCAGAAATATACATGAGAGCATTGTTCAAATGGCTATTTTCACGTATTCCAAATCAAATTTTCTCTTATATCATTTCATCATGATATAAATTCCTGTGAGAAAACTTTGTACATTTGTCTGTTATTCTTATATGATAAAAACATAAGTTCTTCTTCTATTTTCATCTCATTCTATAAGATGAGTAAAATATTAAAAAAGCAGCGTCGCATAAATTTTGTTGCTTTATTAGTTGATAGTGTAAGATATCTGTATTTTTAATAATGGCCGACATTTGTCTAGTATTGAAACTACATCAAAATTTTGATGTATCACTAGGATTACCATTCGTATCTGATATCAGATTATTAATGTTTGATAATCTAAGAAGAGAGACAGATTCACTAATGTTATCAGTAACTAAATGCGAAAAAGCATTTGGCCCTATGAGTCTAAGTGTTAAAACTTTTACAGTAGAGAAACATAGATGAGTGTTGCCTTGTTGTAAATAGTTCATTCATCTTCTTAGCTGGACTTAGTATCAGTATCTGTTTCTGTCTGTGGTTCTTGTCTTGTTAAGGCTTGTAATAATCTTTGACGGCCTGCAGATGGTGTGAAGTTGTTGTGTCAAGCATAGGCAAGATACCAAATCATACTCATCATGTGACTGCAGCACCCGACATTGCGCGTTCCGGCAGTGCACTGACAGTACTATGCTTCAATTGGATCCCCAGTAAGCGAAAATTGAATCCAAGCTTTATATGCTGAAGCGTTTGAGTGTCGACTATGTATACTTGCGCGTACGATATTGTCGTTGTAATTATTCACTTCAATAATATAATCTCCATCGCTATTGATATACTCCTCTACATATGAACGTCCGATTTTTATCCGATATGTTTCGAAGAATAATTGACGTAAGTCTTTTAGAGATATCTGTGAAAAATCAAAATTGCTGTCATCAATTGGCTTCCACCGAGAGCAGGAAGATAATAAGCCCTGATCAACACGAGCTTGT